TTATTCTAGGAGTTGTACGACAGGTCCTATCGATAACCACAAACATTAATTGTATCGTGGTAAGAAAATCTTTTGGCAATACTTCAATGTAAATTAACTGTGACTAGATATTGTCAACTGTTTAGTTCAGGGATTTGTATTATCTTGGTTTAGTAATGAACAAGCCATGATTAGCAATGCTACAACAGATTTCTTGACATACTTTAGATATCCATAACTTGATTTCTTCTCAACCAATGAATCAAATATGATACGAACATAGCTTATAGCTGAAGAAATTAAACAAGACAATACGAGTTAGCAAAGCCCCGGGATCTAACGGCTGCTGCTTTGTCCCAGTTTAGGACCCACTGGGACTCGAACTCAGCACCTACAGGTTACAAGCCAAGCTCGTAGACCATCCAGCCACCGGGATGGCGCTTTTCTTCCATTTTGTAATTTTAGCGCAACCATCAGTCAGTGTCATGGGAAGGTATTTATCCCCACTCCTGAACAGGTAGATCCAACTGGTTACGAGTTCTCACTAAAACTCCAAAAACTTCGTCTTACAGCCAGTCACTGGCGAGCATCAGACTAATTTTCCAGAGTTTGTCTATAGGGATTTGATTCGTTTCAAGTTTGATCATGGATTGATATCAGTTGGAGAACCATTGAAAACCATAGAGTACTGGACAGCTGTTTCGTCCCAGTTTGGGACCCATCGGAAGGTCCTGGCTCCAGAACTCGGAGGATACGTACTGCCTTGCTCCTCAGTTTTCAATGGGTCTCTAACTGTAATCCGTCTGTGATCCCTACAGACAAACTCTTGAAAACAAAATAAATTATGCTCATTTACATGAACTAAACATGCCTGTATACAACATGTAAAGCGAACATTTCACCGACAAAAATCCTAAATAATGACGAAATTGTAGAAACTGAAATAAATTGAAATGCAGGAAAAGAAAGATACCTGAATAAACAAACAAAAATATTGTTCATCAGATATGCGATTCCATTTTCAAGAAGTAGCGCATGCCCAAAATCGAGTGTATTTGACATATCACTTCAAATCTAACCGCATAATAATAATAATAATAAATACCTAATCGTACCGCCCCCCCCCCCCCCGTCTAATTGTAAAATATGAGCAGAGATATCACAAAGTCACTTATGCATAGAATTTACGATTCCAAACAACTACAAATTAGTCACTGTTTACTTGATCTGTTAACATTATGGAATTGACACACTTAAATACACTTAATGCTTCTCACTTCTAAATACCCAATGAATGAAGTTATTCAACTTCTCTTCTTCCGATTACCTTCATTTTTTTTCTATAAAATCTGATTCCGTAAAGCATATCACAAAGAAAAGTTATCCGTTTCCGATATACTTTTGTTACTTTTGTGAAGATGTGAGATGTGTAAGTTTTGAAATTAATCCATGATTGACACACATACAATTACAATAAGAACTGAATGAAAGTTGCTGAAGTAGATGTATTTAGAAGTCAATGAACTAATACAAAACTTTATCAAACGGATTGCTTTTTAATACCGCTTGTCATACATGCGGATATTACTACTAAATAATAAATCTAAAAACATTCTGCATTCAAATGTTTCTTTGTGGTGTTAATCTTCCGGTGAACTTGTTAAATGCTGTAGCATAAGTATCCACCTTGACCTTCTTAATCCAGTGAGAGTTTTTTCACCTATATGTAACTGAAAGTCTTTTTTCTGTCAATCATCTTCAGTCCTCACTGTTGGCATTACTAATGTAACAATTGTATCTCAATGCTTGCAAATATAAGCGTGAAAATTACTAAAATTTCCATTTTAGTTTGGTTCATTTGATATATGATACAGTCATATAGTATTAATCACTGGATGACACTTAGGGCACAATTTATTGTCACAATTCTACCCTTAGGTGAAGATTTTAACCAGTAAAGACTTTCACTAACAATATTCAATATATCCTACCAGTTGATATATGAATATCATGAAGCACTGCTTTAGGAAACAGCTGTAGACAAACTACTTCTGGCTAGTTTGTACCAAGCAGGATTTGATTACAAAATAGTTTAACTACTGACTATGTTTAAGTAGTATGACTAATGACTTTCAACTTTTGTGAATCTCAAAATGGAGGTTTGGCAATGGAGTGAATTTATTTTAGTGTACACTTATTGATCTGTATATTCCGTAAATTTACAATTTCAGCACACACTTTTAAATCTGATTTCTCTGCAACTTACACAAGTATATTTTCTGCAGAGAATCTTAAGATAATAACTAAGCTAGTGAGATCATATGAATCCAAATGATTGAGGCATTCTTCACCTTACATATTCATTTTATAAATTGACACTTTACTTATAAAAGGTGCCTGTGAATTTCTCATGACTGTCGACCACACGAACAGCCAAGTAGTAATCATATAGGATCACATTATTATAGTATTACTGTTCCCCTGAGTTCCGAATGCAAAGTAGGGCTTCATCCGCACATCTCCCATTTTTCCTATTCTCTGCAGTCGCCTTTAGCCAGCCCCACGATTGTCCATAAGCTTTCATCTCCTCATCACACGATCTCCTTCCTGTCGCCCTCGGACGACCCGTTCATCATTTCTCGATCACTTTCCACTCGACTGACGGCCCGGCGCGCCATGTATTCCGATAGTCTCCCTTAGCGTTTCCTCATGTTTGTTGAGCAGTAAGTTCTTGGTTGGTTTGTTCCTATAGTTTCTTGTTCACACTTCTTTTCTTGTTCACACTAACGAGCGAAGACATCTATTGATAAAAGTCAGAAGCCTGTTAGAAACCCTTTCAGAGACGCATGAGCCAATTTTCTGACCCATCCAGAAGAAGTGACTGACTTAACATTTGTGTTGAAAATTCGAATTTTATTGTTTATGCTGAGTGGAGAAGACTTCCACACTGATTTCAGATTGATGAAGGTTTATCGTACCTTTCCGATTGTGATTTTGACATCCCCATCGGTGCCACCTGCAGTTAAAACGATGCTTACTAGATATGTGTAGGAAATTATCTCTGTCAAATTTCTCCTGCTGACAGTGATTGTTGCTGGCTGGTTTCATTAATCTCCGTTTTCTCTTCTTCTCTTCGCAATACAAAATGTAAACTGTGTTGAGTAAACTTATCTATCAGGAACAACTCAAACAGTCTCTAAGTGACTCCTTTATAATTTACTTTTTTCATATAAACAACTGCAGTACATAAGCAACAGGCTTAATGCAATATTTAATGATATGCACTCAAAAAGTCAACTTTTCTTATTTTCTTCAGAGTTCAGACAGAGATTTTATGAATTTGACATGTTAGTAAGTTGATTTTACCTAATTGAAAAAGTAAATCTACGACACAACATACTTGATGATTCTTATGGTGGTAGTTAATATATGATGTTGATAGAATTCAAAAGTGGTCAGAAGCTAGAGGTTGATGTCAATATGGTCACAATGAGTAAACGTTACTAATTGTTTTTCGAGTCTTCTCCTCACTGGAGTTTCACATAGCGTGATAATCAATGTTAACAGGAACTGACATGTTTGATGGGTGTTCAATTCTAGTGTCAATGGTGATGTAGGTTGTTTTTTCATCTTCTACATAAGCACACTGACTAACCTTTGAAAGCAATCACAATCCACTGAATTAACTTTTTCCTTGACCACTATTCATATTACTACTACTAACGTGCCCTCAACCTTAAATGTCAGACTAATGCTACGTTTTCATAATAAGAAGTAAAAGTGCAATAGTGAGTATGGTTGCTAGTCTTCATCTTGGTTACTACTAGTAAATATTTGTAATTCTCTTCGTTAGCCAACATTCACAAAAATACCCAAAAACTGGATCACTCCGATCTGGCTAGCAAGAACTACTAGTTGATGTGTCAGTAGTATCCAACTACTCATCTCAACCAATCAGGGCGAAGTTCAACAACAGTATCCCAGAAGTACGAACGCTCCAATGACCTTGAGCGCATGCTAGTCTTTGGTTAATGGCACCTATCATTATCACAGCGGAAATATCAACCCTATTCACCAACCAAGAAGCAAAATTCAACCAGATCACGTTTTTAAGTACTATTTGGGCAATGTGTTAATAGCTCGTTAGAATTAAGATAAGTATTGGGGTTAAGCTTAGGGTCATAATTAGGGTTAGGATTGATGTTAGAGTTAGTGTTAACTTGAGGATTAGGGTCAGGATTAAGGTTATGGTTACGATTAGGGATAGATTTAGAATTGATGTCATCTATTTTAATTTGTTTTATTATACACATTTTCCTGGTAAGTAATCATCGATCGTTTTCCTGGAAATCGTAGTAATTCAACCTAGTGCTTTTGGGGAAGATCACACAACGGGATAAGAAAGATAAACGATTCAAAAACGGCTCATCTGTAGTCATCTCGGTGAATACATGTACGGAAATTAGTCCAACTTAGCAACTGATACTCCCCATTATTACTGGGATGTATTTTTAAGTCATGTCAGAGAAAGATACCCTGTTTAATGTGTTCTCATGCATTTTCTTGTAAATATACTTCATTTTTTGTGCAAAAATTCCTCATTTTTATGATTGGTCGGCTGAAGGTCACTCGTGCGTTCCCATCCCTTGGGACGCTATTGTTGAACTTTTCCCCAATCAGTAGTATATAGTTTAAAATAAAAAATAATTTTGACAAATGAATGAAATTTTATTTTCCAAAAAAAACTTTCACTGCATAATCTGGATAAAAACTATAAACTGTAAATAAATTAAAATTACTTTTGTTGTAAGGAATTTTTAGAATTTCTATACTTCAGTTCCAAATAATATTTCAGACAATATAGCTTCATCAACAAGAGACGCTTCCACAATGACAAATCAGAAGAAAACAAGACACTCCTCTTGTGCAAGAAATACAAAATTAATGAACGAAAACTCACTATTCAAAAAATCAATCTAGTATTTCACTACTGAGTTTTCACTAGCATCGTGTGAAATATTTTATGATCTACTATAGTTAAATATTTCATCTGCTACCGATAAATTGTTATGGATTAGAGCCAACTTTCCTGGTGTACGACCATACAAATCCACAACATTCCATTGAACATTTTCTCGTAAAAGATAACGCACTATCGGTAAATTGCCAGTAATACAAGCAATATGCAAAGGTGTTAAGAAATCCGATTCCGTGATAGCATTCAAATCTGCTCCACTAAGTTTTAAAGCTATTAAACAATCGAATTGTTGATAATGACAAGCAGTGTGTACAGGTAGATAACCAAGACAATTGAAATATTTGTTAAAATTATAGCTTAAACGTGCCATAAGCATAATTAATTCACTTCTGCCGTACTGTGCAGCAATATGGGCTAAATAATCACCATTTTCATTCTGTTGGTTAAGTATACTGGGGAAATTCAACAATAGATCAGTTAACTGTTCAATTTCTCCTTGTTTGAACATTTCTGTTATATCCAACTGATTTTCTCTAGTCATTTCATGACATCTTATATGTGTGCAGTATTATCTATTAAAAGCGACTAACAGTATTTAAATTGGCAGTAAATCAATTAACCAGCCAATATGATAAATTCAACTAGTCTGACGATTAATTAATCTACTACTTTTAACATTTTATTCAGAGGATATAATATGCCTCAAAAGTGTGCAGCACATTTCATTACTTTAGAATATTATAAAGATATTGGATCGCTTTTAAATAAAATTTCTAGCCTAAAAAGAATTTATCATTCATTAACTATCAACATGCTCCATCTCTATAAGGGATATATCGATGATACTTTCATCATTTGTGATGAAAATTCGGTTCTCGAAAGCCTTAATCCAAACTTTCAGTAACGCCCACCCAAACATCGACTTCACTCCAACAGTTGAATCTCATTCGATTTTCCATTTCCTCGATGTTCAGCTACAAAGAAATGTCGATAACTGACTGAGGTGATCCATCCAGAAAAGCCCTTATGAAATGGACAGTTTATCAATTTTCAAAGTTTTGTCCCTGTACACATCTATTCTCTTTCTTCAAAGATCCGGAAAATATGTATCGATGAATCTATTGACGGACAGCTGCAAAATCTCCATGGAAGATGGTTAACCAACCGGATCTACAGACAAGAACTTAAAATCAAAGAAGGCTGCTTGACAGGTTCCAGGTCGTCCTGCTGCTGAATCTCGAATTTAAAAATGATACTGAAGTAGAAATTCGCAGAAAATGGCTTTCAGAATCTCTCAGTGAAGCATATTCCTCTGCCGGCCTACAAGTGATATTTTCTTGCAGGAAACTATCCAACCAGCACGTGAAAGACAAGCCTTAGCTTTGTGCCACATGAATATGCGTAAAGCAGTTCAAATGCAGTTGTAGAGCTGACTGCATTGACCGCACCATGAGTCTGCTTGTAAAACGCGCTCAGGAACACTATCCAGCCTGGCTAGCAAAGGGAGGACGTGAATATTTACATAACTCGGTAACAGAGTATCTGGTGAACTCACGAAATCCAGCTTTATTTGAAAAGTCCTTCAAAGCCATACACAATATCACATCAAACCTCTCAAAAGGAATGAGTAGGCATCTGGGCATATATGAGGCACTAGCGATCAAAAAGCTTAAGCCCAGGCTATGTATCCAGAGGAGATACATGCAACCTTTGCCTTTACCATAAACAGTCAATTCCCTCAATGGTGATTATCCTACTACGTGTTTTGCCCAAACCTCCTCTTTATTTCTGTTATTTTCACGGTTTTTAATCCTTATTTGCACTACAATGTTTTTTTATCCGAACTTCCTGTCCATTTAGTTATTACTACATTTTTAATCCCTAGTTGCAATCTTATTCATTTGACCCTCGACGGGAAATAGTTCTGGAACTTCCTCACCCATTTTCTTTAAATACACGAATATACAGCCTAGTTGAAAACTTCGTCGAAAATAAAATCTCCTTAGGTGTAATAGTCTTCGTAATATTTCCAGTAGTAAAATCTCTGTGAAAAATACACAAAGTATACATACGAGTCAAATCTATTCAACTGTTGATTCAAAATAATCTCTAGTGCAGCTTAAATTACTCAGACAATCCTATTGAACACAGATGTAAGACAAGTATTAATCTTAAACGCATCTTTATTGAACCAACACGTAAGAAAATGATATGAAATGAGAAAAACAAAATGCTTATCCAGAGGAAATCTACATTTCAACAATTGTAGTCATTAATCGGGATACATGAAGCATATAAAGCAATCAACTATAACGTATGAATGGAGAATTGGGTGACTAAGAAACTTTGGCCTTGATATAACCACACTGAGCATCAAGATACTACTGAAACCTCTGGAACGTTGTTGTAAGGTTGTACTAAAGACATTTCGAATTTTGCCTAACATATACTAGACTAACTCCTATGCATAATTCATATCTCGACACTAAGTGCACGATGAGAGGGATTCAAAAATTAAGTAATCCAAGTGATTCTCAAACTTCTCCTACTAAATATGGTTGTATAGCATTACTTTATTTCCAGCAGATGTAATCACTCACCTTTGATAGGTCTAGCGCTGAATAAAATGGAGATCTACTATATATTTTCTCCTGTTGTGTAGTCGACAGACCGATGAGATACTGATCACAAAGCTCTCCTTGTAACTGAAATTAGTTCGTGATCAATCCTCAAAATCAAAAACTTGTGCCACTTGCAACTACTTATTATGAGCCAAGCATCCTACATAATAGACTACTCTGTGTTACCACATGGACGTGAAATGAGACCCCATATGGTGAATATTGGAGAGTATCATAAATTTGACTTTCGTAGTTAGTGATGAAGACAATAAAATATCTGCCAGTTAATTTCAGAAGTATATCGATTCACAACTTTATGAATCCAAACACTTTGGGTACTACGACGAAATATAAACATGAACCCACCCAGAGAAATCTATTGATTATAAATCTGAAGAACTACCAAAACTCCCATTTGTATTCACTCAGGTCCAGTGACCCATTTACGTACGGTAGTATTTCGTAGTGAATGCAGTTCCTACACCCCCTGACATCTATATTTCCCTGGCGATAATTAGTTAACGTTTTTTCTCAACGCCTTTGAGAATCACGATAAAACAAAAGTGTTTGACCATTTACGTCAGAATCTTCATGAATTATGTAGGTGATTACTAGTCATTTTCAACTCGTAACTTTGATTTTTATACTCGGCTTCACATTTGTTGTCGCGTAGAGATCATGTTATTTGTGAAGTTCATTTAAACATAAACTAATACCTTAGTGTCAGTTTGAATATACATGGCATGTTGATGAAACGGTGATATACAGACTAGCGGTGATGATTTTGAACATACCAGTAACTAGTGACTCCATTTGCTTCTGCCCACCCACTAGTGAAATTACAAGTCAAACCTCAACACAAAAAGAGGTAACTGTAAAAATTCTCAAAATAATTTAACCAATTTTGCAAACGTTTAGCAAAAGCATTTTGTAGTCTTCGCATTCAACCGAAGTTTTATTTAGCATTTAAGTCCTCTAAACTACCCAATAATCGTAGCAAGTATTCAAGATGACTTCATTTTTTGACCAACTGAGTGATACCTCAAACCCAAAGCTCACTCGAAGTAACTGTAAGGAACATACACAAACTTAGAAATTTGACGCACTACTAGATATCCCCACAAAACATTGCATAAGTAGAAATAAAATAACCGAAATCTATCAATAATCAACTCGTCAAAGTGCACCTTAAGAGGGATTACTTTAAACCCATAATTCATGTATCTTCACACCGACGAACCATTCTCTACTTCACTGAACAGCGCTACAGGACCTACATTCAGTAAATAATAACTTTTCGCCAGAAACATAATAGCAGAATCTGAGTACTGTGGTAGAATATTATTTATTTAATATAACACGGTGAGTATTAACCACTGGATGACGTTTTGAGCTCAATTTACTGCCTACAATCATATCAGTGTATCCATACAACTCCCTAAGTTGCTCAATAAAGCTTCACTTCCCCTTCTCTAATACAATTCGTCATTTACTCTAGTCGGGTGCTTAGGAACTCTTACAGCTAAGTTTGGAAGGGAAATGTTTAGATCTCTCCACGTACCTAAACTCTTTGTGTTGTATAACTTCGTAGAGATGGGCACTTATCCAAGGTGCAAACTGAAAAAGCACTTGAAGTGAAACATATGTGATGCTACTAATTCTCACTTCAAAAAGTGTCATTTGCTATTTCTTCTAAGCCAGGTTTGTGGTCTTTCTGAAACTTTTTGAAGCTAGACATTTCTAACTTACATTCTCTCCTTTGGAAGAATACATGAAATTCAGTCACCAGTTTGAACTAAAAGTGCAAACTCCTCATTACCATTGCCGATGGCTAAACCCGGAAGTGCAGTCGAACAGACTACGAAGTATAGAATCCACTGTATGGCATCGCACGCTGTATACCACAAATGTTGAGAACTAGTCTTTTGGGTGTCAAAATTTGATGTTCCAGCAAGTCACAAGTGATTTCTAGAGCAAAATCGATCCTGTGACAAGGATGAACTAGCCAGGGTTATCATGAAAGACTGTCGGTGGTTCCAGGTATTGCGATCATGACAAGTAAACTAGTGATTGAGATGCGTTGACTACAGAACACTGAGACACGCCGACCAATACCCCAAAGACATGATGTAAATGTAGCAGTTTACTATCATTTCAAAAGAATCAACTAAGATTGTTAAGAAACCCAAAAGATACTTAGCTGCCACTCGCACCTCAACAATCCTTCCATATAAGATCTCAGAAAACCTGTGAACAGAAGAGAAAACTGGTAATTCGGTCTTGGCATTTGCGTATTCAACACGGCAGAAAACCAGCTGTTGACCATGAAGGGTGATCTCAGAAAATCTGGTTTATGCAATTGACAAGGGAGAACCACCGATTCAACAAACAGGAAGGTCAATAGATGTACACTATGTAAAAAATCCAGGTGGTTTCAACGCAACGTTTTAGGAACATGTAGACTGATTCTGGCCTAAGTGGAATGCTAATAATTATGAATGCATACCTCATCGACTATATATAGCATGATCTATGAAGTGACAAACCGAAATGTGTGAGATGTAGGTCCATTTGGAGTCTAAACAACCGTCAAAGTCAACATAAAAATCTTTTGCAGAATTCGCCTGTACACTTTCGTTTTAACCACGTGGTTTCCCACTAGAGAAGTTAACCGTCACTCCACAATCAAACGAATTCAGTACAATACGAAAATCTTAAAAGAACTCGATATTTAATAATAATCTGGTGCATATTCAACTGTTAGTGCCTGCTTAAAATATTAGGCACAGATATTAGACTGAACTAAAAAAACTTTTTGAAAAACTACTAAAAGCAGCTGGTCGTTCTATTTCTCCCTGAGTTCACTATTAGTAAGAGTACCAAAGAAATCAATTAACGCAATATAAGCTTTTAGACACTGAATCACAGACCAGTCAAATTTGATAACAGGGATACAAGGTCAGTGCCTGTTTCTCAAGATTGACTCAGGCGCAGCTTTTCGGCAAGTCAAACGGATTCACAAAAGCCATGAGACTTTCTGATCATTGTTAAGGCTGAATAGGTGAAATATCACAGTTCGTATACGAACCAAACCAGCTGAAATGAAATCAAAACAAAGTACCCCACTTCATGAATTTATATTAGCCAACTACCAAGTTTCAGTTGGATCCGCATCCAGATTACTCCAACCTCCGCCAGCAGCTCCACCAACAGGACCGTAACCAGAGGCAGGAAGACCCATATCACCAAGTGATCCAACAGGCATTGTCGGTTCAACTCCCCATGTTTCTGCGGCCTCCACATCAGCACCTAGAAAAATTAAGTCACGTAATGATTGTTCGTTAGTAGACATAAGGCATTACATCATTAACACATCTTCATTATAATATAACCTAACGATCGACTACTGAAACTTGAATGCAAACTAAAATCTTCAGTAAATTATTTACCATATCTCGGCTATTATTAGTAATTCAAGCATTTTTTATTCGGAATATTATACATTGACGTGTAACATCTAAACTGTTTCTAACGAGGGTCCAACGATATATACTTATATTTTGCGCAAACCTGTGTCCGACAAATTAATACGTTGGCCAGAAGAGTATAAAATTATATAAAAGTTCTGTGGGAACACTACACAGTTGTCACTCCAAAAGACACGATACTTGAAATTTATGATCAGGCTGTCACAACCATCTGTTGTTTCTGAGTTCTCCAGCCGCCTCCGCGAAGGGCAACAACGTAACTCAAGATTTTGCAAATATGAAGACCTTTGAAGGGAAATGCATCGTAGACAGACTGTGCTCATATCTGTTTACAAACTTGGATATTATTTGAATTGACTAAAAAAACGAAAGCGGATCTCAGCTGTACCATGAAATGCCAAGTGTTATATATGAAACCCATCAGAGATCCTAAGTACCGGAATAACAGTAGCTGCAAACCTAGGTGTGAAGAAATACATAAAAAGGATGTCTACCAGTAACCATTGAAGAACTTGTGATGTATATCTGGACTCCTTGTTACATCAGTATGCTTTTCACGGATATGTTACGAATTCACAGCACCTCATCCTAAATCTTAGAAAGCAATAAGCTTTGAGACCAGTATACTTGATAATAGGCTTGACTGTGACATCGACAGTCAATTAACACGCGTCCTTTATGATTCTTACCTGGGATTGCTGGCTCCATCCTAGCATCATCAGTTTCTTCATTATTTTGTTCTTCGTCTGTAGGATCACGGTATAAAAATAAATCCGGTAGCACGCTCCATTGTTGCAGTCTTATATCTTCTCCCCGTATACGTCGGACTTCACGAGCAAGCAACCACCAAACAACAGCAATTGAATGAGTAGACTGAATGCAATAAGATGGGATTCTGAACATACCTTAGTGTTGCAAGGGATAACAATATCGACACGATGTAAAGGTGTATCAGTGTTGCAAAATGCGATCACTGGAACGTTTACACGACTAGCTTCAATTACAGCCTGATGATCACTCAGAGGATCACTGACAACAAGGAGACGCGGCTCTCTGTAGCATGCCTAAAACAATGACCAAATCTCTCAACATACTTGCTTTTGGTTTGTGAAAGCACCAGGAGTGAAGCGACCTGCCATAGCTGTTGTACGAGTGTAGTTAGCGAATTTCAAGACAGCACGTTGCGTATATGGCCTGGATCCGATTGCAAAAACCCCTGCTGGATAGTCGATTGCTGCAATAGCGCGTGCAGAAAGAAGTATTTTTTCCCATGTTTTATCCAGCTTGATTATATGGAATCCCTCTTTGGTACGTCCGTGTACATAATTAGCCATCTGAAAGTTCATGGTCGTCTCGCCTACATGAACTTGGGCTGCCAGCATCAACCGCAAGTCTTCTGCAGAAAGCTCCAAGACTGAGAACCCTCCAGACATGATTAGCAAATTCCACAAGTGCCACTGCACGAGACAATCGAAAGAGCGCCTTACCAAGTGAATGACCTACTGAATCAAACAAGGAGGGTTGTTATGTTCAAGTAACCTTATAAAATTACTATGGGGTTCATACACACAAAGCTCATACCACTTTAGTTTTTTTCATGACTTTAATACGCATCCTCTATGTGTTTTTCATCGATCTGAGAGGAATCATCATGATCACAATGTGTAGCTCAATAACGTTATTGTAGCTGTAGGTAATGCCCCAAAATTATTAGCCTATGACATTCGTCACGCGTCACTGGATGCTAATCCTCACTTTCTAAGTAGGCTTGTTCAGTCGAAGGCTTGGAGTCAAGCATCCATTTCATTAGCTACGCTATCGTGTTACGTTCAGTTGTTCATGAACGATTCCTAGCTAGTTCATTAGTCACCCAGGCACTACGTTATTGTCCTGAAACCTACTTCGTATCTTGAAGGATCACTTCGGTGTTTTGTTTCGCCTCTGGTGTACGCGGAAATAATACAATGGGATCTGAAGGTATAAGATCTTGCGCTAGTATACATCGTACTAGCCCTGAACGTCAACACACCTTCAAACTCTAAACTATGATGATGAATTTGTGGGAACATGAATCACTTGTTACTTGAATCTTATGTGTTGCATAGTGTGAGGTAATAATGAAATGTGTTATTTTCCTTGAGATTTCTTTGGCTTCTTGGAAAGCATACAATAGTTTCAACCATAGCTACAACTGAGATGACCGCACTTAAAACTTCGCATATTTTGGTCTATCTCCAGCCTCTGTGAAGGCTTTCAGCTTGACGCCGAAGATTCTTTTTACTACTTAATGGTCTGAGCCCACATCTCTTCCCTGTTTTGTGTCCAGCAGGCTGCATCTCCACTGACTGACACAAAGTCTATCTAAATTCATTGAGTCCGTTGGGTGGAGCCAATGTCGTCCTATGTAGATCTTTTTGCTTCCTCACGTGAGCTCGTCATTAAGTCGCTGAAGGCGCGAAAGTCTTCAAAAGGTTCGTCATTCTCATTCATTGCATCAAGAGTCTCTTGACCAATGATGAATTCTCTTCTTGCGTTCATGTCATCTACTAGAATTTTGGTGTCGTCACTTGGGTTATTTTCCATTACTGTTAGGAATTTTCTGCAGAATATTTCCTTCTCCTGTCTATCTGCGTTGTTCATAGAAGCGTAGTGTAGGAGCTATGCAACACTCTGAGGCGGTCGATGATTAAGGAAGACATAAAGATGAGAGAGGCACCCAAGTAAGAACTATATCGTTTGTGATGATATGTAAGCTCCTTTTCCTCCATTGAATGATGAATGCTCTTCTGTGTATCTGAGTAGATTTCCCCGCTCCACTCGCCCACCATCGGCGCATTAATAAAATTACTTTCAAAACCAATTGCTATCTTCTTTCAGTAAACGCGATTTCGGACGGTGATTCTCAGTTCACTTTAATATCACAGCGAGTTGATAAGTTGGTAAACACGAAGATTTCACAATAAGCTGTTTATTTTAGTGTAGTTCACCGTAACTTAGCTTTTCAGGTTGTTTGATTACATTTTAACACATTCAACTGCTTAAATTTGTACGTGCGTTTTAATAATTTATTTCACTATTGTATCTAATTTACTAATCACCGAGTCTGACTCAAGAAAACTATTTCTGCGGAGATAGATACCTTAATAACCCCGAAGACTAGCATACCTTGCTTTTAAGAGCACTACTTCGACCGATGTGACATTGAGCCCGAGGGCTCCAGGTATCAGGAAGTATGTTCTCTACCACCTTATCCCAATAGCAAGGAGGTGAGGGAGCTTATTCTTCATCCAGTGACAGAGCAGCCATATACTGTGCTTCAGCTCTAATCGATAAATTGCCCTTCCATATCTAAAAGCTTATGCATACTATGATTATTTCTGTGGGAGACAATGAGGGATGGATCCCTATCACAATTACTGCATCACTTATAACTGTTGGGAGATAGCTCAACTGGAGAGAAAGTAGTTAGGCGAGGCTGGGTGCACACCCTTCTGAAGTATGTGAACATGCACTGGATGCCCAAGACTCCGACTCCTCTCCTGAGCATTTAGCGCGTATTGAAGACCTAATAATGGAGAGGAGAGGCTTCATTGAAGGATAGATGAATTATGAGAGAATAAGTGACGACCCAGTAATCTCAGAGCTCGTAATCAACATTGAATCACTAACGCAAACACTAGCATGATCACAGTTAACACGAAGTAGTCGAGCTAGATCCCCTAGCAAACAACGTCTTGGGTCACGGAGCAGATCCAGGCGAACAAGACCAACAGGTAAAGTCTGTTGGTATCACTGGAGTAATGGGGCACAATCGAAGAAATGCAGACAAACACCCGCCTGGACTAAATCATCGAGTAAGAAACAGGGAAACGAGTAGTCCCTTCTCAGTGAGAGACTGCTAGGAAAGAGGGTCCAGAAAGTCATCCATTCAACGTCAAAATTAAGAACTCGTGCATAGCCTTCTTAGTTCAAACAGGAGCCGCACTTAGAATAATACCAAAAGCGAAGGTAGAATTGGGACAACAAATGTCCCCGTCGCGCTACAAGCTGCCAACCAATTGCTGTCTTCTAACACTATACGCGATTTCGGTAGGTAATTCTGAGTACATCTTAATATTAAACCAAGTTACTACATCATCATCGTTGTAATAATGTACTTATTCCTACCTATGTAGGACACAGTTTTACAGGTATGGATAAGTATTATTTAAATTGTATGAATTTTGTTTACGGAGAAATTACATGGTTGCTATCTCTCTTATCTTTAGTTTGTGGCAACGATCTGCTAACTAGACATTCAATAAAGCACATCCAGAAATATGGAAATATTGTCTTCGCATTAACAAAATACCCAAGTATGTGTTAGATGGATTATAAATGTTTGGGAAAAAATAAAGCTTGAAGTCAATTCCTCCACATAACTTCGTTGTATGCGGCATCGTATCTTTTTCTTGATTTGTATTCAAATTGGGTATTAATTTGAAATGAGTGATTTATTTGTATGATCTTGTCAGCATTTTTGTCGTAAGTAACAGCATATGTGAATCGAACTCATTTCAGACTAATATTGGTTATTGACAGGTAGATCTGTTTTACTGCACCCACGTCAGCCAGAGCCGCCATTTGTCACTTCATGGTTGTTCCGTGCTAGTAAGTTGACTAATATGTAGACAGATATGTGAAACCCTTTATTCATAGATACTGCTCGCATAGGATGCTGTACAGCGTCTTGTTATGGTGACAGTGGATATTCCAAGGATGCTGAGTCATTACTAGTCGAACCTTGAAGGATGATACATGAATAAGTGATTTCTACTGTTCCCCAGCTTCAGTCTAAATGTAGATCTGTGCAACTTCCGCTACAAGGCAAATAGAAGAGAAGAGGCAAGCAGCGAAGTACCAGAGAGGAAAGAAAAAGTATGTGGACACGAATAAGACCTTAATGTTTGTGCATATTATATTTATCTTTTTTATATTTTTGATTAAAGCTTGATGCCGCACCGTATTTTCAGTACAAGTATGGAATTTTCAGCATGGATATCGGTAGCCCAAATTTTGCAGGCCGACCATAGATATCGGGTGTGCGTCGGCAGGAGATCGAACCCCGGACCATGTGCATGGTCGGCAAGAGTCCTAACCAGTGTGCCACCGACATATATGTTTATATTCGCTGTACATTATCATTTAGTAAACATACATATTTATTTCTACTTAATCTTTTTAAGCATCTATGCAACTAATTTGTTTATCGTTTATAGAGTAGTTAGGGTATTTATGCGTGTTTTTTAGGTACTGTAGTAAACTAATAATTGATTCGTTCTGGGAATAAATAGTTTATTAATGTAATCAGTACAGTGAAAGAGTCTGTACAGAGAGCATTTGAAACTAAGGACCGAGGAGCAAGTTCTGGCTTCCAGGGGCAGGCTGTTCCATATTTTACAATGCATGACTGTGAAGAAGTTTTCGCGGAGTGTTTACTTAAGGGATTTTATTGTCACTGTGCAAGTTTGGTTACGCAGGTCGTAAGAGCCTTCCTCTGCGAGTTGCATGTCCTCATTGTCTGAGAATGATATTTTGTGAAGGACATTAAAGAAGAATACTAGGTTTATAATAAGCCGTCTAGTCCAAAGTGGGTCAAGATTTGGCATCATGCACAGTGAGATGTAGTCTTTCTTACATTCGTAGCCAAGTAGTTTGGAGGTAAAATATTGTTGGATACTTTCCATCCTCAGCTTGTCACATGTGCGAGTGCTGCTAATAATAAATGGACAGTGATATATAATATATATATTTATTCCTGTTTATGCGGGAACACATCAATTGTACAGGCATGGATAAGTTATTATATAAATTACACCTGTTTCGATGTATGTTGAATTTACAATTTGTTTGTTCTTTCTGACATTAGAGTCAGTCGGAACAGTCTGCAAAATAGTCTGTTTGTGTAACACATAAAGAGATATAGAAATATCGTCTTCGCATTAACAAAAACCCAGACTTCAGATGAATGTAATATAAATATCTGGGAAAAATAAAGCTTGAAGTCAATTCTCCTACAGAACTTTGTTGTGAACAGCATCCTTGAGATAAAGTTTATTGATGTATTATTTTGAGTCAATAATGTATTTGTTCCATTTTTTTCAGCAGTCTAATCGTAATTTTATAATAGGAAAGAAACTTGATTGTGGATACGAAAACTAAATTAGGTCATGTTGGATTGTTTTACTGCATAAAATTGGGCCGAGGTCGATTCCAGAACTATCCATTGGCGCCATTTGTGTCAGCATGACAGACTGTAGACGTAAGTTGAGTTGTACACTGACAACTGTTTGAAAACCAGCTGCTTCTTTATTTCAGATCATGAATACTCCTGTACAGAATGCTTGCCAGTGTCTTCAAGTGATAGCATCGGATCGTTCATGGAATTTGAGTGGTTATGAGTTAAATGGTCTGGAGTCCAGATTCATTTCACTTTAAATGTGGGTTTCTTCGACCTCGATCAGAAGGTTAATAGAAGAGTAGGCTCA